TCACCTCACTTTTCGGTCACGTCAAAGCTGGATTTTCCTATATTTTTCATGATCAGAGTGAAATAGCTACAAAATGTAAATGAACTTGTGTAAAAACGTGTTTTATCAAAGGTTTTTGCATAGCGTTTCCACGTCTTGAGTCAACTTCTTTGAGTGTTTCTGACCTGCCTCCAGCTCCCAATTACTACAGGTGAGCACTCAGAGCTGCATCCATCCACGTTCCCCACCGCTTTTCCCTGATAAATCATGTGAGAGCTGAACACAAATGTCCTCAGTGAGGTCAAAGGTGAGAGTGGGAGGCTGCAGCTGAAGATGGAGGTGTGCCCCCTAAAATACAATAGGCAGACAGCATTATTATTATTATTATTATTATTATTATTATTATTATTATTATTATTATTATTATTATTATTATTTATTTATTATTATTATTATTATTATTATTATTATTATTATTATCATTATTAGGATTGTTATTATTATTATTAATAGTAGTAGTAGTAGTATTACTATTATTATTGTTATTAGGATTATTATTATTATAATTATTGTTGTTATTATCATTATCATTATTATTATTATTATTAGGATTGTTATTATTATTATTATTATTATTATTATTATTATTATTATTATTATTCAAAGGTTGTCAAAGTTTCATTTTGGGAACTCTGAAGGATTTAAGGAAACAGCTTGAGATTTTAGTCAATTTAAGAGTGACAAATGAAACCCTTTGGCAAACTGGCAGTTTTCTGAGGTATTTCTGGTATTATTCGGATGTTGGAGACCAGCCTCACTAATCAGACTCCTTTTTCAGCCTCATGCTCTCTGTTACTAGTCTGTTTTTTTTACTTTCAGCATTGGTCAGTTTAAATGATTTGGAGGGCCATGTGTGCCACGCTGAATATGAAGGCTGCAAGTTGAGTTTGCAGGTTTATTTGGACCAAAGTGTCCCATAAGGGTTTCCTCCATATCCCTAACTGTACAGGCTAGCATGTGGCTATTTTTAGTTTTACAGGATTCTGACATGTCTGTCGTGCTATGTGTCGCATTTTGGTCTGAGCTCGCCTTACGTCTGGCTGTGTGCAGGACACACAAACTCCACTCACTTTACCATTATCTCACTGGGATCTGAACGTATGTGTGAGAAAACACTTCCTGTTTCCGTTCCACCTTTTGTAATGATTTTCTGTTTCCGTTTCGATGAGAAAAAACTTCCACACTGTTCCATATCTTGGGCAGGTGTTATCCTTACAGCTCTACAATGTGGATAAGAAGAAGATTTTGGTTATAAGATTAAAGCTCCAGACAATAAATTCAGTCTGACTTGATACCTCCAGCCTGTCATAAATAAATTAAATAATTTCCCAATGGGATTATCAAAGTATTTCTGATTCTGATTCTGATTCTGATAACCATGAAATGTTCAAATTGGGTTTCTCTGGACAATCAAACAGCAGATGTCCAGGCCTCCTACACGTGCAAAAATAAAGCCTTTTTTTTGTTGTTTGGTTGAGTTACCTCTCGTTATTCTAATGCATTTGCTTAAGAATATTCAGTGTATTCGCTTTTAAAGCCCAACAATGTTTTGTGAATGCTAAAATAAATCAGCAAACACGGTAGCACATCTGTAATTGAACTAAATAAATAATAAATAATTTCCCTCTGGGATTATTAAAGTATTTCTGATTCTGATTCTGAAATCACATTTCTCAGAGTTGAACGGACTTGCTTAAATGGAGACGTCTGACATGGTTAGCTACTTGTTCGAACTTTTA